AGTGTGGTACCTTCAGTGCAGCATACGTGCACGAGTGCGGTACCTTCAGCATATGGATGGCAACATGCATACATTAATTCTGTACTGTTTGTGCAGCGTACAGGTGGCAGCGTGCGTTGCAGCGTACGGGTGGCAGTGTGGATGTACGAGTGCTGTACCTTCAGTCCCGTGTACAGGTCCCTGTGCAGTCGCTCCATGATGAGCAGAACCGCAATGCTGGATCCACCCCCATATGTGTGGTCAATAACAGAGCCATGGAGATCAACCAGCCGCTCGTGTTTCGGGAGGGACCTGGCAATGAGGAAGAGCAAAAAGGAGGGAGAGACAAATACAATAAGCATAGACACTCAGACTTAGGACATCAGCTTCATCAACCTGACCACACCATAGAAAAACAAGCATTGCATTGTTTGCAGGATCTTCCATGTTACAATACAACAGGCAAAATCTACAAGTACTAACATAAAAAATAACATGAAAACTAACATTCACATCAAGAAGTCGTTCAGAAATTAAGAGATCAGGAAGATTTAATGCCACAGAGGACATGCTCTTCTGTAAAATTTCAAATACTGGCATCTATTCAATCTAATGCAAATCAATGAGATTTGCAAAACCTCACAATCAATATACTGTACATCAAAATAGGAAATAAACTTGCTAAGAGAGTCATTATCCTTTGGAAATAAATCAAATGAAATAAAACTAAAATTAAAGGTCGGAATGGCCTAGTACAACAAAGGGCTTCATTTATCACCACACTAAAGTTCATTCCATATGGATTAAGATTTTATTTATTGTGGATTTTCCATGTTTATGGGATAGGGAGCTCATTGTTAATGGATCATGTGCCTCCTTCAGCCACAATTTTGTATGACATCAAAATGTTAAGGACATTTCTTGATAAAAAGAAGTCCACGTCTAGGAGCTCAAAAGACCAACTTTTTCAGACACCAAATTTTTAGCTTTGTACAAAATGTCAGCACTCATCAAGTACATTTCTCTCACATCATAATGCGAAAAGCTACCGTAAGGATAGGCATCCCAATCCTGTCCTCACCAGTGTTAGTCAGCCTTCTTTCCAACTGCTCTCCTTTACTTGAATGAACTGGAAATTCACGTCATACATTTATCATCATTTCCAGATTTAAAGAAGCTGCAGATTTAGTGTTACGTATAAATTGTATTTACACTTGAATTATTAGCAGTTTTCCTAATTGTTCACTCAGCGAAAGGCTCAGTTAAATAAAGAGCTCTGCTGGATGAAAAACATCCAATATTGGAGCCACAAGGAATGAACTTGGCTTGTGGAATTGGGATTCAGTGTGACCAGCAGTCATCAGGGGCCAGATGAGTGATGTCAATCCCTCTCACCTGTGCCTCTGACAAGCTCAGTAACGGTCTTTCCCCACCTGGTGTAATGGAACTCCAGCGCCAGGTCATTCCAGTGCTTGTCATCAGGGGGGACTACGGATTTGAGGGCACAGGGGTAGTGACCCCCCCAGTTGTCACACAGGTAGACCACCCCATATTGCCCCCGGCCCAGCTCCTTGCCCAGCTTCGGCTTCCCTAAGACACGGAGCAAGGGGAGAGAAGGAAAGAGGAGAAGTTATGATGCAGCATTAGACTTGACAGCAAAGGGACACATGGCACCACGAGGTAACTATAATCCTGTTGGACACAGACTCTAGAGCGCAACTTTACAATTTCACATTAAAATATAAGGGAAATTAAAGCACTTTATAAAACGATCCAGTTGACTCTGCTGTTTTGAAAGGAATATTGCAATGGAGGCGATATAATAAGCAAAATAAGAAGAAATGTCAAAAATAAATACTATACTGACCGGCTGAAGGAACTGAACTCTATCAGTCTTGATCAGAGAGGATTACAATGAGACCCGATACAAGTAATTAAAAACCTTCAAGGCATCGACAAAGCCAACCCAATGGATTTCTTCAAAAGTGAAATACTAGAAAAAATACAAGGTAAACCAGGAGACACATCCTTACTCCTTCTTTACAAGCTTCCTTCAAGAAACAGCTGGCTGAGCTCCTCAAATCAATTAACCATGAGCTACCAAACAGGCCAGATGGACTGGATGGCCTCCCTCTTGTTTGTGACCTGTCTTGTGTTGTTCTGTACGATCTGACAATGCTTTTTTCTTGAGAGTTGCTCTTGATGGCCCCTCACCGTGCAGAAGGACGTCTCTCAGGGAGCGGCTCTCCAGCGACAGACGGGCGAGGCGGGGGGCGTGGTCCTTCCGCACGCGAAGCCACAGGTCCTCCGTCCTCTCAAGGCGGCCGGTGTGGCCTTCCTCCAGCTGCGTGGATACAGAGACAGCGGTCAGCTCATGCGGGCCCCGACGCCTGAGCCCACCTTCAACGAGGCTGGACTTGTAGAGCCTTATGTCAGCACCAGCTCCTGAATTATCATTTATACTAATTATTAAACCAGTTAACCCCCATTTCTGATTGGCGCAAGAGCAATCCTTGAGTCCAGGTACAGCCCAGAAGAAAAAAGCAGGCTTCAGTGTCGCAGTTAAATCCAATGCAAGCTCACAATCTGCTGGATTCACACGACAAGTTCATTGTCTCATGTCTACCCCTTTACAGCAATGAGCCTGCTGTCCACATTGAAACATTGCAGAAGGAAATGACCACAGTTCAAACTGGTACTTCAAAGCCGTGCCGGATTCTCCAGTACAGGTCAGGAATAAAGATCAGACACTGAGGCATTACTGGCTGCTATTCTGCCAATGTGGAGGTGTCCCTGTCACAGGGCTGGGTGTGTACCTGGCGCAGTGAAGCTGCAAAGGCCTCATGGGAGCTGTTGAGCCGTGTGCGGAACTGCGAGCAGATGCTCTTGGCCAGCTTGGCAGCACTCAGGCTCTCGATGGCATCCTGGGCCACCTTCCTCTTCCACTCCACAGTGATGGCAGGCGGATTCACCCATGTCAACCTCTGGATAATCTGCAATAGAGCAAAGAGTGAGAGAGATCAGGTTCACAGGGCACAGTGGATCTATTCATGAACAACTCCCTGTCTATCACATCCGAACCCATAAGTGCCCAACAATGAAACAAGTCAGATGGACCAAATGTCTGCCTCACATCTGTAAAGTCTTTGGTTCAATGAACTGAGCAATTTGCTTAAAAGGCCTATTTAACTCTTTAACCCCAGATTCTTAAAATGGCAGTGATTTAAAGAGTCCATTAAAACTGAATGGACTGTAGTCCAATCCTGAACCTTGCCTTAATCCTAATCCTGCTCAGTAACCTGCAAAGCAAAGGTCAGGTAAACACAGTACCAAACATACCATTGAGGATTGAAACACAACACAAGTTTCAATGTTCCAAAGTAAGACAATCAAGATTAAATCACACAGCTGTGGATCTGCACAGCACCTTTCCTGTTGGGAGGTTGGTTTCAGGAAGTTCTTCAAATAGACTTTGACCAATATCCCAGCATTACTTTAGCTCTGCACCATATGAAGCAGATCCAAATTCCAACAACATTTTACAGAATATATAAGGAAGATGGGTCTGTAGCATGTTGTATTTGTGTACGTTTTTCCGTACCTGTTTGATCTGCTCCCATACCAGTCGCGTGACAGAGGAGCCCGAGTGGAAGGTCACCTCCACGTGATAAGCAGCGTTCAGGATCTGCAGGGAAAGAGGCACACAGCTGAGAACTCCACTTCTTCCTTCTCCCTTTTCTCTTTCTTCTTCCGCATCTCTTTTTCCTTCACCCGTTTTAGGTGAGCTCTCTTGCTTTTCCTTTTACAGTGTGTAAGATCACACTGTCTGGCCTTCCACCTGCTCAAGCCCTACATCTCTTTATCTTAATGGTGGTACCCCAGATGACTATTCTGGGTATAGAAAGGCTCCTATGCTGTTGATTTGTCTAGGTGTCAGAGTCTGACCTTGAGTGTGACCCCCCTCCCTGCCTCTCTGACCCATCCCATCACCTGTTTCAGGTGGTTGGAGGTGATGTTGTGCGAGGAGGTGTCCATATGGGATTTCTCCAGGCTGCGCAGACAGCGCTCCAGTGTTCCCACAAAACTCTCCCGCAAGTAGTCCACTGAGCTGATGAGCTTGTTAGCCACAGCTTGGTTTAGCTGTAGCACGATCAGCTCCTGGATCTGACGGATGCACGACTTAATGTCCTTGGAGCTCACTGGCTCTCCGTTCGGAGGTACAATGATGTCTAAGAGTGAGAAAGAACAGCAGTTTTATTTCCCTGCAAGAGACAGGGTCTCACGGACACCACAAAGGAATATACAGCACAAAGCAATCACATTCACAAACCAGAAAATGTGCCATTTGCCACAGGACAGCTCTGAAGCTATAGAAACTCAGGGTTCAGAAAATTGCTAGTACCTGTGAGCAGGACCATGATCTCACCGAGTACAATCTGGACAGGTGACAGCAAGAGCCACAGATTATTTCATTATTTAATTTTCTTCTTTTTCATCCACATTCCAAACCCCCCACCTCTGACCAGCTCTCCAGCACTCTCTACCTGTGAACTCAAGGTTGGCCGCATCCTCTAGCAGCTCCTCCTTCATGCTGGCCAAAGTTTCCACGATCATGTCCTTCATCTCCTCCTGCTTGCGGTTGGCGATGCCCATCAGCGACTGGAAGAGCTCAGCCTCCTTGTCACGAGTGTACTCCAGGCGGCGGGGCGTGATCTGCAGGTCGCGCTGCATGTCAAAGGCCTGGTTGATGAAGAGGTCCAGGCAGCGGCAGTGCACACCATTCAGCAGGCTCGCCGCCTCCACCTGCTGGTTGTGGAGGACCAGGCGGGCAAAAGGAGCGAGCAGGCGAGGCAGGCGCTCAAACACTTCGCCGAGGACGCTCTGGGGCTTGGCGGCAGGAGCCTGTGTGGGGGCACCGCAGGAACAGTTGCCCACTGCACTGCTGAGGAAGCCCAGGGAGAGGAGCTGTGCCTGGAGGGGGCTCCTCTCCCGGTCTCTCTCTCTCTCCATGACTCCCTTGCTTGGCAGGTCAGGGGGCAGCTCCGTGAGGGGACAGGGGGGCGGGGAGTCACTGGGCACGCGGATGAAGCAGATGGCAAAGGGAACAGTTTCTCGGACACTCCGCAAGTCCTCCACCTGCGCGAGGGAGAGTGTGTCCTGGTTTATGGCGTACAGCAGGATGGGCACCACGCCCCGCAGGCACTCCTCCAGCGCCTCCTCCAGGGGCTGCACACTGGGGCACGGCACCACCAGAATCTTGCACTCCTGCCCAGGGAGAGAGGAGAGGTGTGAGGTAGAACGCAGTGCCATGGCTCACTAACAGCAGCTCCAGGCTAACTTGGCGTTCGCCACACCCCACACAAACTCGAACAGGGCAGCTGAATTGATAAATTAATAAAGCACTGGTATTAAATTAAATTAGACCCTCTGAAAACTTATAATTGAATTAAGATTAATTACGCCACTTAGGCCCTCTCTCAATGGATTGAGTCTTCTCAGCAGTATTTTTAGCAGCTCTTTTAGGGCCTCACAGGATCCGACAGGACTCCCTTCAAAAGATGAGGACAGGATGTCCCTTGGGGAACAGGGGCTGCTTCAGAGGGACCCCCCTTTCCCAAACAATTTAAGTCTTCGGCTTCAGCTGCATACATCTACTGACAAGCTGTAATGACACAAATATTATATAGCTCCACATATTGGCTGACAGAATCTCATAGATGGCACTGTTACATTTTGAAAGAGTTTACAGCCCTCTGCACCAGTCAAGCATCTAACCAATGAATCTACAACCGAATCTTCCAGAAATGACTTATTCACTCATGTGCACACCGACCAAGAAAAGTTGTTAATTTTGCGTCTCACCACCTCAAAATATAATTCAATCAAGATTTAAATCTCAAATTAGAGCTTAATATTAAAGGGAGCCTTTAACATCAAGAATCTTGCAATCACGAAATCGGAGGCGCACCCTATAGAAAAACAGACATTCAGTTCAGAAATGTACACACTAAACGCCAACACACAGGCGAACTGAGGCAAAAGCTGTGACTCTCTGGGGCCAGCTTCAAAGCCCAGAGATCTAAACCTCTCCAACCAGCCCAGCCATGAGGCTCTCGACTTTGGAGAGTCATGGGACCCCTGGAGCACAAGGCAGCGCAGAGGAATCCCGACAGACGTCACTTGTCCGACCTCTGACCCCGACATGAGCCAGAGGAAAACGAAGAAAGACAAAGTAGGAGGGCTGTGCTAAGACAGAAACAGAGCCAGTAAAAAGGGCTGAGGGAAACCAAGACAGATTGTGAAAGACAGGAGGAGAGTAAGATGGAGAACAGAGAAAAGGAGAATTAAAGGGTGGCAGATATCAGAGAAGAAGAAAGGGATACTGATATGATGACTCACTTGCACTGCATGTAAACAAAAGAGACAGCCAGTGCCGTCTCTAGGCGACGGGAGCTGCAGGCGACTGTTTGGTCGTTGCAGAGCGAGTGAGACGCTGCCAACTTTTAAGCAAAAGCAAAACTCAGAGATAAAAAAAATTATTCCAAGGCAATAAAGGCAAAATAAACTGCTGGACTCCTGAAGAGATCTAGAGAGCTCCTGTAATATGATTAAAAAAACGGCTGTGTAAGCCTGAGTACTCTTTCTATCCTTTAGAGGCAAGACATTTATTTTAAAAAATCACAACCACACTGCAGGGATGGTACACTGCCAGGTTTATCCTCTAGTTTCATAATATCGTATTTCTATTTGACATGGGTAATATATACCCATTTCAGAATACAGCTTGTCAGTAAGGGATAAATTCACAGGAGCTGTGCTAGTCACCACAAACAGCCCAAGCAGAGAGAAGAGCAAAACAAAAACAAATTACCACAAATCAAAAGTATAAAAAAGCTACTTCAAAAGTCAAACTAGTCTTCCATGAATGGATAATCTTAACAAGAAACCTTCAGTTATTTTTCAAGCTCCTGCATAACCATACACTGCAAGAGAAGGGGGAGTAGCTTTGCTGCCCTATTAAAAAAATAATTAGCAAGTTCCTGCTTTAAGCTGCAAATTCCAAAAATAGCCCCTCTCCCAGAGAGGCGGCCAGTTTGTCATGCCCCTGTGAATTGAGCAGGGGGCTGGGGAGAAAAGAAAAACAGGGCAAAACAAACAAAGCTTGTTCTCCACACCTCTATGTGTAAAACGCACCCTTAAGACCCTGCAGCAGTGGGTGCATGGGTGCCAGGGCCTCTCTAACAGCCGGGTCAGTCCGCGAGGGACATGTGACAGGACACAGGCAGGCTAAGCCCCCCACTAGGATAACTGGGTCCCTCTGGCTGCCTGGAAGAGCTTCCCCAGGGATAATCCTCTCTCTGGGAAAGCAGCTCACACCCCACAGCTCATCCAGGGGGATAAGAAGGTATGCAGAGCTGTGGAAATCTGACAGTGCTGATTTACACACATCATAAACTGAAAGATAAGGCAGTTGTAAAGAGCTAGAAACATTACAGCTAATATCCGCTTTCTCCCATCTCTTCCCACAGTTAACTCAGGAGTAACTCAGGACCAAGAATGCAGACAATACAGTGTCTAGCACTGCGCTATGGCCCACCAAGCAAGGCTTCCTGTTCATCGTTCTTCTTCAGTTTTATCCTCATGCACTTTACATACAAGGAAAGCTGATCTAAGAAACTACTCCATTTCAAGACTGTTCTTTTTTGCTTTTAAAGCAGTGAAAATTTCAGACCAAAGGATCCACAGGCAGCTCATCTGGACCAGCAGCCTGCTCAGTGCTGTGCAACAGATGTCCTGTGGAAGAACAGGCCACCGGCATGCAATCGGAGTGGAGACGCCCAGTGTGATCAGCCAGTCTTTGAGGCTCAATCACAACTGAGCTCTCTCTGTGACAAACCTTACTTCAACAGCAAATACAAATACCCTGAATTAAGATGTAAGATGCTGTTCCTTACTCTGCTAAATTAAAAAAAGTCTTTGTCTTTTCTTCCTAATGTGAAGTTCCCAATTCTGGAGATAAAGTGCTTTGAATTACTCATTTATGTCACCAGACAACTGATAAAGCAGCCCTTTGAAGGAGGAGGAGAATCAGAGTGAATAAACCCCCAGGAAGACACTGGTCCCAGGACACCCAGGAGAGAAGGAAAGACAGGAAATTAACATAATCAAGCCAATGAAATAGAAATGAAAGTGAGTTTTAAACCTTGGGACAAGTGCTCTTTCAATGAAGCATCTTGGCAGCCCTGAGGCCACAGGCCGAGCTGCCCCTGAGCTCTCCACCGCTTGGCAGGTCTCGCCACGCCCACAGTCCCGCCAACGCAACAGAACCTCCCACAGCAACGGCTTGACATGGCGTGAGGCGTGCTCAAGGACATAAACCAGGACTGAGACACAGGTAAGCCTTTCCAAGTCAACAATTAATTGTTGCAGTAATGCAAGATATTGGGATTCCATCTCTGGAACTCCATCTGGAGACCCTGTGGTCTAGAAATCCTGTTATACTGGACTGCCCCCTACCTGCAGCAGCTGGTGGTGCAATGTGACCTCCAGCTCGGCCTGCCGGTGGGCAGGGTCCTGGCATTCCTCCTGGATCTCCAGGTCCTCCTGTGGCACAGTGTCCCAGCGCCCGCGGTGCCCCGCCAGCTGATGCACAAGTTCGTACTGATCTGGCAGAGCCAGGCTGAGCCGTGTCTGTCGCCCATGCGTGAAGCGCAGCCGCCGCCTCTTGCAGCCACCCGCCCCTCCACAGCCTCCGCTCTCTGGCCCCGTGGGCAGCAGGCGCTCCCCCAGCAGGCAGTTCACCAGCTGGTAACGGGCACCACAGTCCTGCCCAAGGATGACAATGTAGGGGGTGCAGCCAACACTGGCTTGGAGGAACTCCTCCTCATGGCTGGGGAAGGAGATGCAGCCTAGCTGCCCTGCAGATAGAGGAGGCATGGATGAAAAGAAAAATAAAATTAAAGAGGGGGGAAAAAAGGAAAAATAAAATTATAGCAAGCCTTACAGGCTGGGTTTTCCTTGTCACGTTTCAGCTCTACTCTCACACTGCAAGAGAGGATTATTATCTTACTTATTATCCGTTTTCCAGTCTCTGCAGGTTCAGTGTCGAACTGGTTACACTCTGCCCTATTCCTGCTGCTCTCTACTTCCATGGCACCAACATGCAGTCTAACAATTAGTAAAGCTAGAGGGAGAAAAATCACATTTTGAAAGACATACTGTATGAAGAGGTGGCATACTGCACACAGATATGAAACATGATACTAAGGTACTGTGCACTGCACCGTCTGCACAGCCCTGGGAATCAGCCCCATTCCCTCATCTTGTATTCATACTTGCCTGACGGTTTCCCAGTTTTCCTCTCCCCGTGGATATCCCACCAAGTCTTTAAAATCTACTGTTCCATCCTGCTGCTTCCTGTACCACCCAGCACTGAGGGACTCTCGTCCCTGTCAGGGCCACAGCTCCTCAAAGCCCACACCAGCAGGACAGGGCACGTGACTGCTCATGCAATACCCTGGGGCATTTTTACAACCTCGCCATCACAGGAGCTGGGAGGAAGATGGGAGATTCCAAACCAGGTGATCCAGGGTAGAATAAAAACCCAACATGCACTTGGTGCACACCCAGACCCCAACAACTAAACTTTCCCCTCCTGAACCCAGCACCTGGGCACACAGGGGAAAACAGGCTCAACCACTAGGGGCTAAACTAAACCAATTAGTGTGCACGCACACGTTTTATTTCAGAGCAGCAACAGTCAATCACTCCCTTTGGTCACTAAAACTATGTTTATTGGGCTGAAGACTGAGGAAATTATAGGGCTGGTGCTGCAGAGCAGGCAGAAGCACATTCTCAGCTTAAGAAACAGGCTCGCAAAGCCTGACAGAAACGAAGAAGCTCAGTAAGAGAGGCAAGGTGTGGGCATGTGTTCTGCGCCACCATGCAAGACAGCTGCAGGAAGAGAAATGTGGGACTCATCGGGGCAGAGGTGTCACACAGACAAGCCAGTCACAACGTAAACACAGTTGCTCAGAGAACCTGAAACCCATCCAGACAAGCTTCACTCTCAAGGCAGCAAGTTTCCTTCTGCAACTCTGCTGCACACTCCACCCCCACCCCCCCTCTGCCTTGGGGAGAAATCAAAGAGTTGGAGTAAACTCCTCTCCTTGAAGCTGCTCGTTAAATAATACTTGAGAGACTGACTGTGAATTCAAACAAATTTGAAAAACAAAACTCAAACCCCTCATTCTGTAGGGTTACTATGTTTTGTAACCCCGGACAGATAAAAGAAAATCTGCTCCATAGCTTTATTACAGAAAAACGTTTGTGAATAAATGACTCACTACCACCTAACATAGCAAGCAATTTCAAAAGTGTAAAACAAAATATTAAACCCTTCTCCCTGAGGAAAGGCAGCCAAACAAAAGGTATCAGACGTTTTATTATTACCCCAGCACGATATGCCAATGGAAAACAGACGCTGAACAGTCTGCGCTGAAGCACGTGGAGAGATAGAGACAGTGATTCAGAGACGGGCCCAGGAGTGTCACTGCAGCAAAACCAGGCAGCAGGCTGTGGGCTCAGGCTGAGCTGAGATTCCTGACATCTCTCAGTTAACAACAGGAAGCTAAGTGGCTGCCTGGGCCAGGAGGAGCTGTGCTAATCAGAGCTGCTGAGTCATGATCCACTGCAGTTATACAACATGACAAAGAACAGGCAGTGGTCACAGGGCTCTCTCTCTCTGGGCCTAGGCTAGGTCCTATCACATGCAAGAATATCGGATGCATTGTGAAGCCAGACAAAATTTTAAAATCAGCCATTGGGTGTTGAATCAGCAATAGGTACCGAGTGCTTCTAAAACTGAACAGCAGCTGTTCTAATGCACAGGCCGGTTTCTGCACAGTTACCATGCTCAGCCACACAAGGCACAGAGAAATGCAGCGCTTCTACAATGTAACCTGTAAGCAGCCAGTTGATAAACTCGTCCGCCTACAGCAGGCTCTCTTTTCCTTGATCTAAAGCCATTTAGAAAAGAACAATTAAGTGCGCACAACTCTACAGATGACTCACTCTCTAAACATTAACTGGGATTTACAACCAAAAAGACATTAAAATAATTATCCACTGAATTTCAGTCTATGTGCAGGGCAAGGATCAGGGAATATCAGGCAAATCGGCCGTTATGTTTTAACTAAAATCTCTAGGAAAAATTTGACTAGGAAAGGTTTGATAAGTTTTTCACATTTGCATACTTAGTGATGCACAAAAGAAAACACTCAGGTCTAATGAATGTAAGTATTTTAAACATTGATATCATTGATATCTGCCGCATCGCAGAAAAAAACAGTTCAAAACAATATATACTTCCAGAATGAAAACAGTACTAGGTTAATAAGATAATAGATAATAAAGATTAATAAGATCTCCCAGAGCACTAACACAATCCTGGCAGCACCGACACACAGATGATCTGCTAACTAACCCTCTGGACAGAGACCCACTCTTCCTGCGCAGCAAACTGGCCAAGCTCGGTCAATCCCAGTTGTTACCAACACTTGTGCACAGCTGGCAATGGCACTGGTAAGAATTCAGTTCAGGAGCAAATGCTGGACATAAGAGAGCAACTGAGAGCCAGCATCTCCAGGCGGACCTGAACAAGGGGGGCTCCAGTCATGTGATGAGCAGACAAGTGGGATTCCTTTTTCCTGGAGCTGGTCGTGCTGAAGCCACTGCAGTCAGACAGTGATGACACAGGTCCTGGGTCAGTGTGGCCACTCCACGCCGGCCAAGACATGACCTGCCCCTCTTGGAGCTGGTCTCCTGGTTCCTCCGGACTCGCCCCCTGTTTCCTAGAGCAGAACCCTCTGAATCATTGTTCCCTGGGCGAATTCTCTCAGACAAGCCCTACTCACCCACGCCGATAGTAACCAAGCAATCTTCATTGCTCAAGCAGAACATGGTAAACCTGCAATAAAGTTATGCCTGTCTGAACACCTAGGGATACACGTTCTTCATCAAATCATACTGGCAAGTTGAAGTCATCTAACAAACATAACAAAGGCTTCAAAAAGGAGGTGGCTATTTGGTCTGTCTTGCTCCTTTGGTAGATGAGAAGCCACGGGAATCTGAACTTCCATTCAGCCATTTCCATTCAAGGATCCCTGAGCCTGCGCCTCCACCACCCGGCTAAATACAAACAACTCTTTGTGCAAGACAGCATTTCCTATTCTCTCCCCTACACAAATTCTCTTTTATACTCCAACTGTGGACCCATGTCCTGGTTTCACTACCTGCGCCGCTTGGGGTTTTATACACCTGGAACACATTTCTCCATCTCATGCAACCAGGAATTAGGAGTGTTGCTCATCTTTTTCAAAGACATTTCTAAGCTTACATCATCCCTTTTGTGGAATAGTATCTAAAACGGAGAGGAGTGTTCTAAGTGAAGTCTCACTAATGCTTAATGCTTCATAAATATTACTCTGGCATCTTGTTTTATTGCTGTCCCACATTGTTTTCAGGAGGACATAGAAGCAGCTACATTAACACCTAGATAGCAGCTTCCTGTAGTCCACAACTGCCAACCAATAAGTTCACCTATCAGTATTACATTTAATTTGCCAAGTGTCTGTCTGCTCCACCGCTTTGTAGTTCCTTTGCTGACCCATTTGTCACTATCCCTGTTTTGTATCACGTACAAATTCAAATACTATGCTAGCTAAACCAGAAGTGAAAACATTAAAGGAAATCAGGAAGAGCAACTGGCCTAAAACAGATCCTCTGGTACACCACACCCCGTTCCAGGTTCTGCACATTAAGATGATGTGGTGTAGTCTCCTGCTTCCTGATTTATTATTAATCCCACATTGTTGTACTTTCTTTTACTATGTGTCCTTATGAAATCACAGCAATCACTCCCAAGAAATGATACTACTATCAACAAACCTATTTGCCCATACTGAAAATGAAAATGGCATTCTGCATGCATCAGCTGCTGATGTGAATGCTGACTGCCCCTTTGATGTTAAATGCAGACTGGTGTTCCTCTTGTTCATCAGTATCAAGGTATAGAGGGATTATTGGACCACAGAAAAACTGAACCAGATAACAGGAGACAAAAAGGGGCCAGGGAGAAGAGCTCACACAACAGCTACACGAAGTCAGAATTCAGCTACATGGGAACAGTCAAAGACCGTAGCCTGTGGATCTAAGGAAGGCCTTCATCAAGGAGTGGATCAAGGGCATCTTAAACAAGGGCATGAATGACGTTCCATATTCTTCTAAATCTCTTTGAGAGGCTGAACATAGGAACGCCCTGAGGAAGCTTGCTTAGAAACATTACTGTTCCAATCAGGATATATGAAGCCTTTTCTGGGGCAAGGATGCGAACAGAACGATTAACTTTCCAGATCAGCCAGTGTGGGAGAGGGAGAGCCAAGCACAAGGGAAGACCGTGAGGAGTGCCAAACCAAAACTGCTGTCAGCAAGGGTTTTTTATGTGCGAGACAAACCTGCAAAAAGCCCTCTCTCACTCCACTAATGACAAGGCAAGGCCTCTGGTTAACAGCGTCTTTTCTCCACATTCAGCATGCTGGGACAGAGACCCAGTCCGGGCACAGCACTCTGAACAGAGCAAGCCTTGTGCTCTCTGAAACTGGTGACTCACAGCGATTTCATGGTATCAGTTCAGCTGGTACAGAGCAAGCCTGCTGCTTCCCAGACGCCTCTCACTGACCGCACTCTGCCTCCAGCACAGAGAAGCCCTTTCCCTCACTTCCACACCTGCACAGACACCCAATCCCTTCTGAAGACTCCTCGCCCACACACAGCATCTCAGAATGGCTCCCAGCTACAGGCCCAGTACTCCGGTAGTCTGCCAGCACCTCTTCACATGCACTATCCCCACCCCATCCTCTGGCTCTCTTTCCATAGGTTTCATCTGCTGCACCTTTTATAGAAGAGCTACAGCCACTGCAGGATTGAACAAACGAGTCCCCTGGAAGTTTGTGTGCACTCAACCTTACTCCAAGTACATTTCAAATTCCATTTCTAACTGAATAAACTGGCCAATTACACAAGCGGTACAACTTCTATTTTATCATCATGAAGGAGGCAGAAGCCTGTAAGGAGACCTTCAAGAGTGAAATTCTTTACAATCGCAGCAAACGCTAATCAGGGAAAAATAACTGCCAGATATGCAACAAGATAAAAAGTTGCTAAAACACACAACCCTCTGATGCATTTTATTAGTATATTCTCCAACCTTCAAAACTGTGCGATGCATCTGTCATGAGCACTTGGCAGTTCCAATGAATAACAAACCCCCTGCCTTTGTTTGCCAGACTGTCACTCCTTCACACCTCGGCAAGAGATGACCACCTGAGTTTGAGCCAATTCCTTGACTCTACAGGGGTGTGAGCCACAGATCTCATCCTGATGAACAAGGGCTTCACAGAGGACACACCTCTGGCTAAAGATTGAACAGTGTTTAAAATGGATTTAAAATGTTTCTCTAAGCATTCACGATTTTTATGACAAATTTGAGTACAGCTGCAGAGATTGCACCTACCTGTAAATGAAAGCCCTTTTGTATTTGACCCCAAGTGTGCATCAATAAAACACACTGACATTACCCAACTCTAGGAAATGCAGAGACACCTGCATCTTCCCCATTAATTAAAACATTGACCCATTTATGAATCCATTCATTCCTTCAACCAAATTATCTTTAGCAGGAGGCATTGAGCCTATCCCTAACCCTAACCCACAGGCACAGGGTACAAAACATGACTGCACCCTGTGAGCCCAAGGGCTGTGAAGCATCACTGCTAACTGCCACCCCACTGTCACGCAAACTAACAAAGACTTCAATATACTGCAGTATCGCAGGCTTTTCATACATTCTCACCTTTTTAACTTTTTGGAATTAGTAAAGCTGTGAATTAGTTCCAAGGTGGTGGTGGTTTAAAATTAAACTAAAAACCTGATTTTTGTGAACCAGCCTTTTAAACATATTTTATTCTCTTCTGTGTTCTAACAGTTTTCTCTCCCCCCCCCACACACTCTGTTCCTAAATTTAGTTTTACCACCAGCTTTAGTTTGTTCCACTCTAGTATATTCATTGGACTATACTGATGGGCGTCCAGAGATCCGACAGGTGGCCACTGAGGAAAGATCCCAAAATGATGTCCAGCAGGGATGACAAACAGAGCCCTTCTCTGGGGTGATAAGTGAGTACACAGCTTAGCTGCAGGCACACTTAGAAAAGTTGAGCTGGAACAGCAATCAGCCTCTACAAGTAGCCTTTATAAGTTCTTTGCAATCACCGGGCAATTGTCACTGACCACAGCATTTGCTAATCAGGCAAGGAGTGAGGTAATATGTCAACAGCATGATTAACACTTTCCTAACCTTTGGATCTTTATGATCACTTCTGTTTGTACACAAGGCACCCAAGCCACTCAAGAGAAGCATCCGTCTCCAACCACAACTCTTTTAAAAGCAAGAACTGGAGCCATCGCTGTTGAACAAGTATGCATCCATCAGACACAGTGCCCTTTCCTAACACAGCAAGTTCCTCGTTGTTAAAAAAAAATTCACTGCTGGGGACAAACTTTGGATTTCAGCAGTAGCTCAGAAAAGCACTAAAACCCAAACCGGCACCAATTGCCACCCTTTTCGCAGGCCGGCGCAGAGCCATGCCAGCTCACCGGAGACGCAGCTGATTCAAGTGGTGCAGGGAGCCGAACACAAGGGCCTCTGTGTGCCGAGGCTGCCAGCGCAAACTGAGCTCTGGGTCCAACCACAGCCGCCTGGGCCACCCTCTGCCCTGGCACCCCTCTCACTGCTACTGGGCTTTGTCAATTCACCACATTCATCATCGGCTAAAGTGCAGACACGCCTGCTGCTCCAGGTGACCCTGAAGGTGCAGAAAGAGAGCTCGAAGCACAGCAACCTGCACCACGAAATACAGAGGACCAGGGTCTGAAGAGGAGAAACAACAATCATAACAATACCCGCTTTCCAAAATTCAGGCTCTTTGGCTTTAATTCTACAGATCCGGTTTCATGGTGTGAGAAAATTATACTTGCAAAAATCCTGACTTCATAAATCTGTATGCGTAAATCTCAAAGAGAGGGATATTACAGGAGCTCCTTTAAAAGGTCTCTCTTTGAACTTCTCAGTGAAGATGTAGCCTGGGAGATCCAGGGTTTAGGAAAGCAAGGTAAACACCGTGCCTGCATCCAACGACCCGAACTGGTGACGCAGCCTCAGCCTCTCTCGACGAGAGGCAGCAGAGGCCTGGTTCGTGACATTGCCTCGATACCGCAAACCTGCTCTCATCCCCATGGCACTCCGGGCTTCCATCACTCACTTCTTAAACGCTTTCCTTACACAACAACAGTCGAGCCAAAGCCCTGAACAACTATACACACTGAATGAATTATTAATGGACGTTCTCCGTCATCCTCTCCTTGAAGACTTGATGATACCAGCACGACACCGAAACAAAAATTTAATTTTTCCAGTGCTCCAAGACCTTTCCTTTCCCCTAGAGGAGGTGGCTGAAGGACGAGCTTCATTTCCTTTTGGTGGCGCAGTGGTTTCACATGAAAAAGTCAGCAGAAGAGAAAAAGATCCTTTTTTCTGTGAAAATCCTCACCTCCCCCTTTAGGCTGCAAAACAACCCACACGTGTCTGTGAACGAATTAGCTGAGAGTTGCACAATGTACAGAGGTCTCCCTCCTCACAGCCCCTAATCCGTCCTGCGGGCTCCTTTTCCAAATCCCCCTCGTCCGTCTGCAACTGCAGGCCTGTCGGAAGCCTGTGTCTGTGTGCATTTCACATAACACTTTCACAAAGCTCTGGCTAACCACTGCTCTCATCCAAGCGCCGCCTGCAACATCATTGGCTGTTAACCATAAAAGTCAAAAGATTTTACTGGTCTTTTACCATTCTGAAAGCGATTTAGGAATTATCTCACCTCATGCATCTATACAGTAGGACAGACAATTAATGCTGATGTCCAGCATTACACTAGAACAGCTGCCTGCCTCTTTCCAAACCAACTTCACCTGCTTATTCACTATAAGACCAAATTCCACACCAGCCCAACCCACACCGCCTCCTTCTCCAACAAACAACATCTGGAGTGTGCTTTTATTCTGATCCCTGCTACTGCATTATGCCAATACTGGCCAATTTTTAGAATCTTAACTTTTCTTTCAAAATAGAGCACAAAGAGCTTATTAAATTTCAGTATTTTTCTTTGTAGAGGGTCCTGTGTTGACACTGCAGGCCGCGCAAACAGATAAGCACACTATCCTGGATTCACTGGGGGTACCACAAGGCAAAATGATTTCTCAAGCACTAAGGGTTCATAAAAAGCCAGCAAGTTCATCCTCGGGTCAATACAATTTGGCCAGTATAAGGGTAGATTAAGACAAATGAAATAAAGGGACATACTCAGATTGGGCACCTTTTCATTTTTATCCTCTGTCCAAACTATCCAGATGGGAGCACTGGGCTTGAAGAAGCTGCCTATGAAATAGATGAATTGTTGTGAACCGATAAAAAAGGCCAACAGTGTTAGGATACATTATTAGATGTATAGGATTCAGGCTTCAATCAAAGAATTATGTTCAGAAGAGCTGTAAAACCATACTTCGAAAACTCTACATAAATTTGCTCACCAAGTCGCAAAATGACACTGCTACTGTGGCATCAACCCAGAGAACAGTGACTACATACATTTTCTGACTTAAAAAAGAAAGGCTGAAAATGTATGTAGTCAGGCTGGTAGGCTGAAAGAACTTCTTTAGTCTTGAACAGAGAAAACTACTACGGGACCTGTATTAAGGGCACTGTATTCAAAATCCTCAAAGGCATGGACAAAATCCAGCGAACTTCAAAGGCAATGATGAATCTTGAACCGGAGGGCAAGAGAGTGAGAACTACAGGGAAGTGCATTTAGAACAGGAGGCCCTTCTTTACACAAAGGGTTGTGGTAGTGTGGAACAAGCTATACTGCCATATTGTCAAAGCCTATTCCATGGTTTCTGCCTGGTTCGTCAGGACTCTCTGATCAATTGGCTATTACCAACCTTACGGGTCTAATACACGCCTCTCGGTTGCAACCTTTTATGCAAGCTGTGTTGTGTTCTGGGGTGACCGCTTACCTGCCTCCGGTGCAGGGGTGTCCGAGCTCGGAGCTGCGGCGCAGGCGTTGCTGTAGTTCTGTTTCATCTCCCGAAAGAACTTGTTGGTCTCTTTAAGGTTCTTCTTCAGCAAGATGGAGTTCTTGTTGTAGTTGCTGAAGATACGAGTCAGCTCCCGGGCCATAGGGGTAACTTTCTGCCCGGTCCCCGTACCGGTACCGCCACCGCCGGTTCCGTCCATGACTTGTGCCCGATGGCGATGGTGCCTGCAGGGCTCCAAAAGCGAAGAGCAGGCCAGTGCCCCCCTCTTCCTCGGTGATCACGTCCGTACCCTAATACTTATATAATCCAACCTAGACGGTCAAAACACCCTAATTTCGTAACGGTGTTAAACTGTTAATCTCCATGCACACGGGAATTAATGAGGGATGTGTGGTGGTGGTGGTGGTTGGGGGGAGTATTAGTGTGTTAATGTTCAGTGTAGTGTGTAGCTATTCTAGCAACTCGAGTATAGGAGCCGAAAAAAAATAACGTTATTCATCTAAATCTGGATACGAAATACGATTTACAATTAAAAAAAGACTAAGGACAGAAACAGAAAGCGGTTATGTAGGGAGTTTTGTAACGTCCCCAAACACCGATATCGTACGACTCTCTCAAATCCCCTTACTGTGGGGGCGGCAGGTCGGTCAGGATGGCCCCGCACCCGACCCGCAGTCCACCCGGGAGCGGCCAAGGCCCCAGCAATGCCCGGCGCTTTCCCCGAGGTACCCCGCCCGCTGTCTGATCTCTCTAGCGGAGAACTGTCCGGGTGCTCCGGGGCAGCGCCGCCCAATCCCGGCACCAGGGAGGTCAGGGCGCAGGCACTCCGACAGAGGCGTCCCGGTGCACTCGGGAGCCGCAAAGCGGCGGTCTGAGCAGCACCTCGCCGAGGGAAGCAAGCGAGCAGCCGAAGAAAAGCCTTGGTCCTTCCAGGTGCCGTGTGTGCCAAATAACGCTACCAACGGCAGTTAAGCGCATCCAATGAGGCAGGACGCAGTTAATCATCAGACCTGGGCGACTTGTCTGCGGGCATGCCGGCAGGGCGAAGCCTTTTCCGAAGCGCCAAAGCCAAGGCTGCCGGAGCCAAGCGCCTGCAGCCGCCCGAGGGAACAGCCAGCTCCTGCCGCAGCCCAGAGCTGGAGCCGAGCAGCGCCGCGGCTGTTTCAACAAAGGAGAAGACGGGAGAGGCAAGCAAACATGACTCCCCCGGACATGTATGGCACGCAGTTTCCTCGGAGTGAGTTTTCCAGCACAGAAAGCTCCGATTCCCAGAAAAGTAACTGTGTACTCGCGGAAAATTGCTCTAGAAAGGGGTAAATCTCGGATCAGACATGAACAAACAATCCGCAGTGCGCCGGGGAGGGATCTTTCATAGGGGCAGACTCGCAACAGGGCAGCCTGGGATTTGTAGTCCGGTAAAGGATCAATTGCTGAAAAACATTGCAGATTTTGTGCTGGAGATTATGCGATGCCTGGTCGGATTACCTAGTTTATATATTCTTATTAACATGCATACTTAATCGTAAATTAAGAAAATCTGTCACAAAAGGCTCAGGAAAATGCCCAGCCTGGAACGGCAGGACAAAACTACACATAACCACGAAGTGTTTGTTATTACCAAAGCCCTGTTAAAGACATCCTGCGTGTGGGATGTCATGTGTGTAGGACTGCACAAAGAGCTGCAGCCAGAAGCACCAGCATGCAGCATTGTGACAGAAAGCTCCTGTACCTAAGCAAACGTATAGCGAATGAAGGACTTAAGAGTGATTGAATTATGATGAAAATGATGGTTGTCTTGTTTATTTCAATAATGTACAATTAGTGAGACATATGAACAAATAGCACATATAGCTTACACACAATTGAATATTATCGTTTTAATGTGTATTATTACTTTTGTATTTCAATGCGACGATAAAGCAGCAAATGCTTACCGATTATCATTATAGTTGTTTCTTGTATGTTACACTCACTGCGCCTTTAATATAAAAAAGACTACATGACATAGCGTGAGAATAATTTTAGAAGGGCTGATTATAACCAGTAGTGCGAGATCCATGCCTTAAAAGGGGAAATTCAGAAATAGTTCTTTGTCGTTCTGTGTTGTGAACAGAGGGCGCCTGTTTTGGATTCAGTTGGTTTGTGGCGTTCCACGTGTTGTAGTAACCAGACGATCCGCTAGACGGCGCAGATTCCCAGGAGTGGTAAAACTACCAAGGTCTGTGGCTGTGTCATATACTGGGGTCTCACCCTAGATTCTCCTAAGAACTTAATGACGTTGATAAGATCACTTTATTGGCTATATACAATTTTTGTATTAGGAATTTGTCTTTTCGCATACCCCAACTTGCTCTCCATGAGACACACAGACAGGGAGAGAAACTTAGGGTCAGAGCACAGGGTCACCCATTTATACGGCGCCCCTGGGGCAGCTGGGGTTAAGGGCCTTGCTCAGGGGCCCAACGGATGGCAGAGGATTTCTCTGCCAACCGCGGGATTCGAACCAGCAACCTTCCAGCCACAGAGCCACTGCACCACCCCAGTGGTGTACATCCTGGTTGTGGCTATGTAGCTTTTGAATTGATTTATATCTTTAAACCAATTACATTTTTATGCAGAAAATTAAACCAAACAATTGAATCTCTTTAAAAGAACGACATGACTCCTTGCCTTTACTAAATACTTTTTTCTAGCCATCACAGGAAACTACACTTTAGCAAGGCAATTATTTTCAACTTTCATTTGAAATTTAATTTTAAAATTAAAATTATACTTAATCAATTTATCTTTTAATTAAATGATGCCCAGTATTTTCTTGAAGTTGTTTTTGTTTTAATAATTTAGTCTCCTCCAGATTCCGTTGCCATTTTTAAATAATTTATCCTGTTTATATCACTGTTATTTAATTTTTTACAGCTGTCATTACAGACACTGTTCTATGATTTACAAAAACTGTTGCCATGGTAACTGATTCTCTGGTTAAGCTTCACAGAGCTAATTTCCATCCAGTATGCCAGGGAACCAAATAAGCATTATGCTACCTGAAAAACAATTCGAGAGGATTTTGTGCACTGATGAAATGGTTCCCCTTTGTGTTTCCTGTCCTTTGGTTGTGAGTACATCTGGAGAACATAGCTGTTTCACCCAGGAGTATTAGGTAGCACAGCCACAGAGAGTAAGAACAACAGAATCACCCTAGTATCATACTGAAGGCAGTACAACTAGCAAGTGGTATCTCTGCTGTAGTGCAGTGTTGAGGACCTAGTAACAGACACACACAAAATAAATACTGACAGAAAATGTTTCAACTATTTTCCTTCAGTGTAAAACATTCTGTCCTGTTTTTTCTCAGAGTAGGAAAAAATGCTAAACCATTTTCACCCATGACCACTTATATCAAAATATATGACCACTTGTAGTCAAAAATATTTCCTGAAATCTAAATTTCAAATTGCCCAGTAGCTATATCACTCTGCAACTCACAACTGGCAACCTACTGAAGCTAAGCAGGTGTGAGCCTGGTCAGTACCTGGATGAGAGACCTCCTGGGAAAACCTGTGGTTGCTGCTGTAATAGGTGTTAGTGGGGCCAGCAGGGGGCGCTCACCCTGCGGTCCATGTGGGTCCTAATGCCCCAGTATAGTGACGGGGACACTATACTGTAAACAGGCGCCGTCCTTCAGATGAGACGTAAAACCGAGGTCCTGACTCCCTGTAGTCATTAAAAATCACAGGGTGTTTCTCGAAAAGAGAAGGGATGTAACCTCAGTGTCCTGGACAAATTTCCCATTGGCCTTTACCAATCATGGCATCCTAAGAATCCCCATCTATGAATTGGCTTCATTACTCTGCTCTCCTCCCCACTGATAGCTGATGTGTGGTGAGCATTCTGGCACACTGTGGCTGCCGTCATAGTCACACTATGGATGCTGCACATTGGTGGTGGTGGAGGGGAGTCCCCATTACCTGTAAAGCGTTTGAGTGGAGTGTCCAGAAAAGCGCTATATAAGTGTTAGCAATTATTATTATTAAATGCCAGCTCCAGAATAACACACTCAAAATTTCTAGAATGTTCCTCCAAATACAAGCGAAACATTGTAATCCAATTTGTTTTGCTGTTTGCATCTCTGTTAGATGCTCGTAGGAATTGATTGGGTTGTGTAACTCAGGACAGTGTCCAGGACTTTGACCTGTTTGGATGTTATTTTTCTTCTTCTCCCTTTAATAAATACATTTAGAATTATAAATGCTGAACTCTTTGATCAAACCAGAATATTTGAAATTACTACTAAAAGATAACCGACAGTGGTCTGGAAAAAAGACCACTACAAACGTAGGCCTCTGCAACAAAGTGTTTGAGAGGTAATATAGTTGGTGTATAGTTTTCTATTAGAATTATTGTTTCTACTGCTGTTACAATAAGTAGCAGTACAAGATCTGTAGAAGTAGTTGTCCTTGTTGCCTTGATATTTTGACAGCTATGTGCAATGCAGCTAGTGTGAAGAGACTGATAAGAGATAATGAGGGAAGACAGATGGAAAGGAAGAAAAAACATTTTAAAAAACGAAATCATGCAGCTGCTTATCACTTTGTGGAAAAAAAGACAGAAGCATTTTGAAAACAGTTATTACACTCAGGAGGGAAAAACAGCTGTTATTATAGTCAAATCTGTCTGAGCTGTATATGTTCTCAATGTACAGTGTGGAGTTAATTAATCTTTAATGCCCCATTCCCTGCCTGTGCAAACGCATCAAAAGGCACCACAATGAGGCTGTTAATAATTGACACCAGGGAAGGGGCTGGTGTCATGGGTAGCTGGCCTGATTCCAACACTGTCCTCTCATTAGCACAGAGACACTGATTGGCACCCTGACCCTCAGTGAATGTTATTCTGTTTGCCATGCCCTCTCCCCCTTGTAAAACAAAAGATCCTTCAAGACCCAAGCAGATATCCACTGGCCATGTTTTACTGCTGCTATTGGGCACTCAGTGCCATCCTACAGAGCTGCATGGAAATAGATCTGGGAGGGTACGTGCTTCCAGCTGGATTGTGAAGCTAGGAGGAGTTTGCATCATGTCGTGCACTGTGCCATTGTAGGAACTGTGGGATAATGGCTCTCATCACAAGTCTGCAGTAGAAGCCAGCAATTCGACAATAGACTTGTTCTTGTTGTTTTGCACTTTTCCAAAGATGTGCTCTGCCCCTTTGACAGTATAACCAAAACAAGCAATGCTGCCCTCCCTGCCCTCTTCCAGTGAGGCATGCACATAGATATGAAGCAAAAAGGAAGACATCAGTAATACACTGAGGCAGAATTCATCTCTGATTCCACTTCTCTGCTACCAGAGCAGCTAAAAAAGGACACAGTCCAAGGAATCATGTGGCCCCTGTGAAAGCAACATGCTTTCAAATTGAATTACAAGTGCACCTCATCCTCAATGGAGCACGGGATTAATAAGATTAGCCTGTCCTGCCAGGGTTGTTCGGGAGGGGGGCTGATCTCCAAAACAGCAGAGCCTGCTGGTAGGAATGGGGGGGGGGGCTCAGGGGCCCTGCAGCAACCCTGGCATACAGCACAGGGCCTGGCACCCCTCTGCAGTGCCACCCTTCATGTCCATCATCTCCTGAACCCTCATAGGCTGCTCAAAGCTCATGAGTAAATATCTATACGTTTTTCTTTATGCTTTTATTCCCTTCATTTTTAATGCAGACATGTTTTTGATTGATCATACTTTTTTTTTAAATTAAAGCTACAGGAAAAAGCCAAGTTGCCTCTCAACAGTCCTGTGCTGTTCACTAGAATGGTCACCGATTAGGCTTGGCTGTTCTGTAACTACAAGTTTCATTCTTGGCAGGCTTGGCAGGATATTGTGTTTTTTTTCAGTGAATGACATTTTTGGAGCCATAACAGTTGATTCCTCACCCCTCCTCGCTGGTCAGACCTACAGGCCAGGACAGAGCTTCCCGAGGTGAGACTGTGAGACTGTCCTCACAGCTGCGGTTCTTAAGCTTTTGGTTCTCAAAATATGTTCTCGCACCCCTTATCAAATATTTCGGAGGTGGGTCAGTTCTTTAAACCTATAATCTGTCCTAACTATATAATAAAATATATAGAATAGGAGTGATATTAACTGCATACACACACAATACCAGAGATACAGGCTCAGACACACATACAGAACAATAACCAGCTGGACCATATTGAGACTCCAGCCTCTGCCTCGGCCTCTGCCTCGTTATACAGTTCCAGTGGGTGGAAAGTGACATTCCAGCCTGCACTAGACACTGAACACTAAAGAACAGGAAAACACAAACATTTATTCAGATTTAAATAACATCCATTTAGCATTCTTATATATGTGATGCTTTAATAATAATCAGCATTTTTTACATCAATACAGATAAATCTTCCAGATATCACATAAGTATACACATAAGTGAATATATAGGCATAGATATATTGATGCATAGATACACTGATATATAGACATACATTGATATATTGATTAAACAACACAATACTATATTTAGATGTTATAGGACTTGAGAAATATCTTTCTTACATTTATTCCTGATCACTCAAATACAAAATTATTTTTAAGATGTTCCAAATAAGTCATTACATTTAAAATATTTTAAAACCTTATTGTACTATGAACAATACTAAGGAGAACTGTGTTCAATGGGATCTCAACCACTGAAATTGTTTTAAAGGAATTTTAAAGGAATGCAGAGAACTGTACAGTAGGTCCAGTCAGCACACAGCCTCTGCAAACAAGCCTAGGAAATGGGTGTGTGGAGCACAGTTAAATGACGTCTCCGTAAATCAACAGCAGTGTAAGAAATAGTGTGAAGATTTAAACTGGTTTTTATTATACTGTCGTGATAACCCATCTCCTCCAATCTTAATTCTTCATGATTTAAAGAAACCTGGAGGATCTGCAGGTCTGTGTGTGCTCAGAGTAGTGTGGCACCAGATAGTGCACTCAGAGTAGTGTGGCACCAGACAGTGCACTCTGAGCGTTCAGAGTAGTGTGGCACCAGACAGTGTGCTCAGAGTAGTGTGATGCCGGACAGTGCACTCGGAGCAGGAGCTACACCAGCCAGTGTGCTCAGAGCAGGAGTTACACCAGACAGTGCGTTTAGACTGCGTTCACGTCGTTTTCTCACTTGAAAGCGTTTGCAGAGTTTATGTCGCATCTCCATCCTTATATTAAAGACATTCCTACACGGGAAAGAGAGCATTATTTTGTATTGCCTGTGTTTCATTGGAATGATTTTATACAAAACCAAAGACAGTCTTAAATGCTTGTCATTAACTGGTCAGAATCTATTGACATTATACAGCCGTCTTGAAGGATTTCAAGCAGTCCGATTCGAAAGCTTAAAATAATCAGTCTCTCGCACCCCTTTCTAAAACTAAATTAAACCCGTTCTCGGTCTTAAATGTAATTCCATTTGGTTTTCAGTTAGTGGGCACTGGTCCCGACCTCCGGTCTCCTCATGTAAAACAAACAGGAGAAACATCCCACACCTCACCACACGCCCAGTCACTGACAGCTCTCACGAGGCGGAGACGTAGCAACCATACTTGACAACAGGTCCGCTCGGCCCTCATTGGACGAAAAAAACCGTTAGCTGACCCTGTCAAGACGCTCACTGGCTGCTGCAGCTGTCACTCTCCTTCGATTGTCTCCGCCTTCCCTGTGGTTGCAGCTAGGAGAGGAAAGAACCGCTTGCTGTGAGCAGGGTTGTCACAGATATTGAATTAAAAACAGAGAAACCGGCGACTTTGGGAAGCAATGCATTTTAGACTTTAAATGGACGTTTTTGTGAAGTGTAGTCGAAGAAGCTTTAGATAGGGCCTTCGGTTTTAAAATAACTGGAACTGATCTGTGCACTGCGGTTGTGTCCTGGCAACCTGAAGTAGTATTAATTTACCGGTGCTTGTGGCCGGAGGGAGGCTTCGTAGTGACCGTATAAAACCGAGACCCGCAAGCAGATCCCTTCCAGGCTTCCCGATCTCCCAGCCAGCGCGCCCGCAGGATTTTGTACGTTTTCAGGCTGATGTGGGCCGCATCTTTTAAAATTCGGGGAAATATATTTTTATCATGGTATTCAGTTTCTACTTCGGTGGCTCTCTTAGCTGTCAGGCAGTCGTGGTTAATTTGGTGGGATATGGAATTCTTTGTAGTTAGTCTGTACTGCACGAAAGTTTTAATGGACTTCCAAGTATAAATTTTGTTTTAAAATATTCAACATAAACGAAACTTATCTAAATGATTCGGTTTAATTTTAGCCGTTTCCCTTAAAAGGCGTCTTTGAATAAATACAGTACATAAATTCAACGGAAGAAGATACGATTGTGCGATGTAGGCGCATCCACTGATGATGTAGCTACCGCAGAGGGAGAGAGTATTATTGACTGCTGGGGGATATAAACACGGGCATATTTTGTCCTCCTGTTCATGTGTTTTGAACAATAACCGGAGATGAAGCGGTGCAAGTCTGACGATTTCAGCCAAGCTGAAGACAGCGGCAAGTCGGGGGGCGAAGACACCCCGAGTGTGTTCGTTGTGGAGGTGAAGACCGGGGACACAGCGGGGGGCACCCATGACGCCTGCAGCGAGGGCCCGAACCCGCAAGCCCCTGTAACCAGGAGTAAACCACCAGATCTGAAGGTATTTCGCTCTTTCCGCCGCTTCCTGCATGCGTGTGAGATACCGCACAGCGGTTCTAAGGCGTGGTACACCACCAGGGACATCGAAACAGCTGCCCCTCTTTAACTCAGTGCCTGCAGTAAGGCGATGTAGCCACATCACGACAAGAGACCAACAAGAATGAGCACGCTTTGTCTCTAAGCACTTCCGCTTAGTCCGAATACTGTGATGTGTTTTCCATCGTGCGAGCACCTGCTGACTCAGTTTTTACTGCTGTCACCTCCCCACAACCCTCTGGCCACACACCACAGCCCCCGTGCGAAGGGCTCTTCGGATTCACAGGCTCCTTTCAAAACCAAGACGTGATAAAGACTTGGCTTAGCATTAGAAAACCCATATTCTACAGGCCAAAGTACCTATATGCTCATCATACATTCTCCAGCTCCTACCCTCCAGCACAGTCTCCTGCACTGCCTTAACAATACGAGAGGGCTCAGTTTAATATTGTGCTGCAGATGTGTATGTTACCAAATAGAGAAAGGATTCAAATGAACTTGTCCTTTTCACTTCCACATTCTTAAGTGTACTGAAGGATAGCCATCTTTGTTTAAAGGTGGTCAACCATCAGAGAAAGCTTAGAAATGAATATTACAAAAATAGAAAGTAAGAGGCTACTGTACTGACCTACACAGTAGTCTGTTGTACCTGAAACAACTGGCTGTACTGGACAATCTGCTGCACTGGACATTGTGGTACTGGACAAGACTATACTGTTCTTGATCAGACGGGATGATGCAGTCTTACACTGCATTTCACATGACTGAACAGGACTGTACTGTACTGGAACTGTACCTAACAATGCTGAGCTTCATTAGAGTAGACTGAGCTGCTCTGGACTGGACTACAGTCCTCTGGGCTGTACTATGCTGATACCTGTATGTGGGCATTGTGACTACAGAAATCAAACTAGGTGTCTACAAGCATGTAGCTCCAATGGCCAGCGTCACAGCTGCAGGCCAGCCTATAACACTGCTGTGACCAAGTTATGTGGAGAACTTCTGGTGAGTTCGTACAGCTCAGGTCAGACTATATACAATATACAACTTTACAATCACCCATGTGCGTTAACCCATAGAAAGGGCACTTTGAAGATCCAAAGACAATCCACTTGGCTCCTCACAGCATTTCTGATCTTTTGAATCCTGCACACTGGGATAGTATCGGAATAGCTTTTCATAATTCAGCATTCATTTTATCAGAAACCACATAACCATGTGAGAGGAAGAACACGTTGTGCTACCTGTAGAGACATTCTTGTACACTCTCCGGTTGTATGTGTTCTAATATAGTTTTCAGTTATTTACACTGAATTGTTAACCTGAAGGGGGGCTGTATGAAGGCAGATGTAGTTGCAGGGGTGCCAGGCCAGCTGCCCGCCCGCCCTGGCCCGGTGGCTGTACAGACACGTCACACGTCACTGCATGCCTGTGAGCTCTGAATCCTGAACAATGACACAGCGCCTCATTGTGACGAAGCAAGTACTGAGCACTGCTGCATGCTGCACTGCTTAAAAAGCATATTTTCAGGGTTAATATGCTGCCGTGTACTGTGTTTGTGGTTTCCCTCTGGTACATGGCAGTGTCTCCCAGACTGTGACAAGGCGGTGCTGCTCTCTTGACTCCTGCGGGGTTGTTAGTTGGTTTTGGCCCAGGACTGCTGCCGGTCCTTTGTCACCCGAATTGATTTCTGCTTCAAAGGGTAGTCCATCCACAGTCCTGGAAGGTAAAGACTCATCTAGGTAAACGCACATGGTGACTAAAGGCAGACTTGCCTGTGTGTGGGTTGTGCATCTCTCTGATTTGGCGTGGTAGTCAGCGCAGTCTGAAGTCACACACCTGTTGATTCCCGTGGCACGGACAGTGCAGTTCTCCTAATGAATGATCGTTGTGTCCGTTAAAATCACTGAGCTGACCCACTGATGGGCTGTTGTGGTGTAGTGTGACACGTGCCTCTAATGTCAGGTTTAACAAAATGCTGCAAATTAAAATGTACAAACCTTACTTATGTCTAGATTACTTTTATAATTTTACACCTCTCACATTATTTACATCAATCAGAAATCTGTTGCTGCTGAATAACTGTCCCATTAAAACGGGCAGCAAAGTGAAGCTGTGTTTCACTGCAGCTGTGTGCTTTATTACCAGGCGGTTAAAGGTCTAGGAGGGGTTTGATTTAAAATACACTGGCTTTTTCACTGCCTGCCTGCACACACCAAGCCCTGGCCTGTGGCCGCTCTCGCAGGAGGGCTAAAGTGGCGTGGCGCTTGTCTCTCGCACGGCAGAAGATCCAGCAGCTGTCGGAGGGCTCCATGTTTGGCCAGGGCCTGAAGCACCTCTTCCACAGCCGGCGGCGCTCCCGGGAGCGGGGTCACCAGAGCTCCCAGGACTCGGCGCAGTCGCTGCAGCTGTCCTCCGGGGGGGCGGCCGGGGGCCACTCCGACCACGACTCGGCGGACGAGAAGGAGCGCTCCCCGGAGATGCACCGGGTGTCGTACGCCGTCTCGCTGCACGACCTGCCCGCCCGCCCCACGGCCTTCAACCGCGTGCTGCAGCAGATCCGCGCGCGCCCCTCCATCCGCCGCGGCACCAGCCTGCACAGCAGCAGCCGGCGCACCAAGAGCGGCCCGGCCTCCGAAGGGCCCAAGAGCAGCAGCCCCCACATGGGCCGCCGGGGCCCCCAGGACAGCTCCCTCACCGCCCTGCTGCACCAGGGCCGCCCGCGCTCCTCCTCCACCACGGACACGGCGCTCCTGGCTGCGGACGCCACACTGCCCTGGGGCTCAGAGGATGCTGACCGCTCCGGGGACAAGGTGAGACCACTGAGAAAAACTCACAGCAGAAGTCTTGTTCTAGTCAAACCCAATTAGGAATCAATTCATACACCTTTGTTCAGCAACATTTGAACTTCAGGATCTCAAACCCGTAAATACATCAATAACGGAGGGGATCCACTCCATCCGCTGCTGATCTGCCCTGTACAAGCCCACAGAGGAATTTAGCCAGGACTAAAAGTACACTGGGATCTCTAATGACCAGTAGTCAGGACCTCAGTTTAATGTCTCCTTTAAAGGACAGTGCCTCCTATAGCAGTGCCCTGGGCCTCTGTGCAGGGCTGTTGGTTGGCAGATTCTATTCCAAAGGAAAAAATATCACCTGTTATTCCAAAACATCACCTTCAGCAGAGATCTGGTTCCTGTTTCCTTGGGGTCTCCCTCCCATCTTGGTGCTGACCAGGCCCAGCTTTGCTGAGGTCCTGAGATCCAGGGCTACAAGATTGGTACACTGCCACCGGTTTTCTGAACACCATGCTGGACTTGCTCACTCATCATTGCTAAATGCACATTAGATGATTCAGTTTCTTTACAAGAGTATTAGTGTGTGCATTAGAGCACTTCTAGTGTTTGTGTGCTAGAATGCACTGTTGTGTGCATTTGAGAGTACAGTGCTTGGTTTGTGTGAGGGAGAGTGGTACTGGTGTCTGTGTGTGTTAGGGAGAGCAGTACAGTTGTGTATGTTAAGGATAATAGGTGGGATACAAGCCGGATCCAAGGTCCCAGGGATTAGTTTGCAAGGCAGATAATCAGAGAAATCCTGCATGACCTGTAGCTCAATTTCCTCTGCTTCTGTCAAAACTCATACAGGAACAGGTTCTGACAATAAAGACTAATGAAACTGTCATTGCGAACTTCTACGTCTGCTTATTGAAAGACTGATCTAGCTCTTAATAATTTGTGTTATTTTTTAAGAAAACAGTACATAGGGTGTACATATTGTACACATAAGATGGTGATACATGTTGGATGAGTGTGGCCTAGAAGATGTCTATTGTCAAAGTTCTGATTTTTTGTGATTAACACTGGTAAAATGGTATGGGATTCAAGTTTTAGGGTTTTTCATGAACTCTAAGGCAAGTGTAGGACAATTAGTTAAAAAAATTGATATTGAGGGAGTGATAATAATAATTATAATTACTTACACTTATATAGCGCTTTTCTGGACACTCCACTCAAAGCGCTTTACAGGTAACGGGGACTCCCTTCCACCACCACTAGTGTGCAGCATCCACCTGGATGCTAGATGTATCCAATTGTATGGATGTAGTCTCTGGATCTTGCAGAGCCCTAGATATAGTAAAGCTCTGGGTTAGGATTGTTATTAGGATGTATCCAAATCAGTGGAATGTGGAAGACAGACTTTTTGATAATGGGCTTTTTTTGCACCGTTCCTCAGTGCATGTTTAGAAGTTCAGGCAAATGAATGAAGGTTGCTATGCTGAGTTGTACCAACAGCAGCAATAGGGTGATGTTTAGCATTCTCGTCCTCTCCAGCACCCAGAGTCTCCTTGGTTACAGGTCTGTGGAGGCTGGCTGTGCTCTCCTGCAGCCCAGTACAGTTCGTAGTGTAGGAGGACCACTACTAACAGCAGGCTGTTTAATGCATAGGCTAAATTTAGCTGATGGCTCACCCACCGGTGGATTTTTTTCTCCCTCAATAACAACAGGAGTGAGCGTGAGATGTTAAGCTGTTCTGCACAGTCCTACTGTACCTGCTCCTCGGCGGACAGGGAGATCAGCACTCATGCCTCTCCACTTGGCAGGGAGCTCGGAAGGTCGAGAGTTTGCAATTAGGAGCACATGAGGCTGAAGTGTGAGAGATGTAAACTGAGCAAGTGAGGTTTGCCTGCATCAGGCGCTGATTTGCAGTGTTGTGAAGAGTTAGTCGGTGTTGTTGCTCGCTCGCAGTGGGGCATCCAAAACAGGTTCTGCTTTCTGAAATTAAAGCTGCCCGTAACATCTGAGTATGGAGGGCACTGAGATTCATTTTCCCAGAGAGATGGGACATTCTAGGCTCCCATCCAAGTTTCCAAAGAAAAATATTTACTTGACGGAGCTTTCAAAGACAAACATTCCTATGCAGATGCCCTGTGCCTCTGCTCCTGTACTGGGGCGTCTTGTGTTGCCAGAGGGGAGGTGGGTCAGCTGTCTCAGAGTGGAGCCTGGGGGGGGATTGTGTGACTGCCTTCCCCAGTGGGAACCTGCCCCTGCCCTTTCCCTCTGGTAGAATAATAAAGTCAATTATAGAGGGTCTGCAGAAGGACTATGAAAATGTTAGCTCGTCATCATCACAACCATGAGCAAATGTGGAGTAACTTTAGGGTGGGAAACTGTGATGCAACCTTTTCTTTAAGTGTTTGTTTTCCTGCGTGTGATCTGCGGAAAGGGCTGTGGTCTGGTTATCAGTGGGGGCTGTGGCGAGGGTGGCACGGCTCCACACTGTGCTCCCTGAGGGTGTTTGCTGTGAGCAGTATCTGACTGATACAGACTAGATGGGGACTCGAGTAGGAGCATGTTGAACAGCTGCAGTTTGTGAAAGCACTGCTTCACAGAATATTATCTATAGCCATTATATAATCTATAGCCATTATTTCTTCAACTGCTATCACTCAGTGTAAAGAAAGCCATTGTAAAGGCATGCAGCCTTGTTCTGACCTACAGTCCAGTGTCCTCCAGCATATAGATCTGTAGCCCACTGTGCCAGAATAGAGAGCTACAGCACTTGCTCGTGTCTGGCTGTGTCTCTGCACAGTATAGGGAGTAAGAGAGCTGTAACACATTTGCTGGCCCTTTAGGGTCTGAATGACCTCAATTCCCCTTCACCCCTCTTATAGAGAGAACAGAGATGGGAATGGGAAAGTTGACAACAGGAGTACTGCAGGGTGACTTAATACAGAATAAATGCAAAGTCCACACATAGAACTTTCCACCTTGTGCGAGGCGGTGTAGGTGACACAGATTCAGCCTTTTACTGGAGAGATGCACCATGGCAGGTCCCACCAGAGGTCTTGAAAAGGCATTCCAAGTGTGGTGGGAAGATGCTGTAGTACTCGCTGGGAAGCAGTGGTACTAGTGTGGTAGGGACAGGTCTCTCAGGGCCCTGCACACTACACTGAGCAGAGCTAAATACAAATGTACCTTGACCCCACAGACATACAGGGACACCTGCAGAAGGGGTGCCTGGCATATAGAGCATGTGAATGCGGACTGATCTTCTGCATATTTCATTAATTGCCAATGAATGGAGTTGATATCTTGTAATATGAATGCCAATGAATGGCAGCAGAACAGGGGTGTCTGCGCCCCAGCTGGCTGTCGCTGGCTTCCTGCGACAGGAGCAGGGCCTCCAGCTTGGTACAAGAACAGGATCTGTTGGGATGAAGTGGTGAGGATATTGTGAGGAAGAAATACAATCTGTGCTGGAAGTATCACGACTTTGATCTCTTTGTGTTTCTAGTTTCTAGGGGACATAAGCAGGTATTGTTGTACATTCCTGCCTGTGTCAGAGACTTTATCTTTAGACAGTAAATTTAACCCCCATCTTCAGAAAGGATGGTGGTGGGAGTGGGCTTCTTAGACCCACCAGATATACAATAATATAAAAATTAAAATGTTGTTTTTTAGTTTTGTTGTCCTGGGCTTATTTTAAAAAGTAATTCTGAAAGTTTTTTTTTTAGAAAAATCTTGGTGCTGGCTTACATTAAAGGAAGAAAAACTTCAGTGGTTTTTGGGAACTGCCACAGGTACAGTAAGACACTCAGTACACATGAACTTGGTGGAGTAAACAAGCCCGTCATGGACAGTCATACACAGAGATATTAGGTTGCTCTGGGAGAATTCAGTAAAAGTTTTATTTTATGTGTTATGATAAGACTTTATTGCAAACTAAGTATGAAACAGTTCCTTAGACTCATCATGAAGTTGTATTGATGCTACATTTAATATAGAATGTACAGCTATGAATGTGTCCTTATGTATTAGTTTCACAGGGGTTAGAAAGGTCCCCCTTGCCCAGAGGAGCTTGTATACAGACTTTTGTGAAGAGAAGGAGGAAGGAAGCAATCGGCTCTTGTGTTTCTCAGCCGAGTCATCATGGCTCTGCCTGTTAATTGTGTGAAGATTTGGCAGTGTTGCAGTCGAGGGAGAGTGGACTAGCGGGGGGTCTGAGTGGAGGCTGATTGGTGTTGCTGCCAGGGTTAGTCACCTCTCCTGGCAGAGGGCAGGTAGAGGCACATCGTCGCACCACCCAGCTGTGAGTTTATCAAGGAAGGCAGCGTTCAGATTGATCTGTATTGTGTTACACTAGAGCCACTTTTCTGTGCATTAACAGCCCCTGAGGGAAGAAGAATTGTTGCTGAAAACAAAGCAGAAGAAAAAAAAGAAGCAAGGGAGACAGGGAGCGAGGGAGACGGGGCGACAGACAGGGAGCGAGAGAGACAGGGAGACAGAGAAAGCGCGAGATGGAGTGAGGAGACAACGAACGAGAGAGAGAGGGAGCGCATCAGTGTCGTCCTTTGTTCGCCAGGTCCGTGTTCCGCTGGCAGGCAGTGCCTCGCCGCGCCGCGCCACAGAGCTCACAGCTGTCCTGCGCCTTGCATGTTCTGCCACACCTATTGTAAAGCAGGGCTCTTTGTTTATCTTTCCGTCCATCCTTTCAGCATTCCCTTTTCCATATCCCCTCGTCCTTTGTGGAGTGGGATGTTTTCCAAATGTGGCGCAGTAGTGAATAAGAGTGGAAGGCGCTGCGGTGAGGGTGGTGAAGGAGCTGTTGTCAGGGGTGAATTATACACCGTGGGGCTCTTGGGGGGTGAAACTAATTGTACTACAGCGGCTGGCTGGGAGAGAAAGACTACAACAGCTCATTCGTCCGCAAGCTGGGAGAGAAAGACTACAACAGCTCATTCGTCCGCAAGGGATTTTATTTATGAGCCTATTGTGTGTGGTGGGTTGTAAATTCAGTATACATTGAGGGGCTTTAACAGCACGAACAGAGCAGCCCATCACTACAGCCTTCCTTCACTTCAAGCTCTGCTGTATTGGAAAAATCTTGTCTTTCTGTTAAGAATTCATGTAGCGTTTTGGCTTAGGAGTCTTATAATCCCCTTCAAAAAAAGATGTGTCTGAACTGACTAACATGGAGTTTATTGTTTACTGTGGCTCTGTCCTGCCTTAGTTTAGTCCTTTGTCTTGCATTCTATTTTCCTGCCTGCTGGCCTTCCTGCTGCCATTGTTCCTTCTCCTCAGACAGTCTGGGCCTCACTGGCAGGAGAAACGATGTTTCATGCCAGATCAGAGCCACATTAATACTGTGCGGCTGAATGAGCTTGCTCTGTCTCAGAGACGTTGGACTAATTAAATGAGAGCAGAGGTGCAGCAGTGCTTGTCTACTCTTATTTCAGAGGTGTTTTTAAGGGAAGTGGAAACCGCAGAGGCATCAGAGACTGAGATTTCAGCAGGCTGGTGGCCTTTTTACCACACTGCTGTGGCTGCTGACAAGTCTGATGGAGTGTTGGACCTGGCCAGCGGACAGGGGCTGACTTCACACACCCAGGAGTGACGTCGGAGTGATAAAGCCAGCGGTTGACTCTGGTGGTCTCAGTCCCGTCCACACTGTTTGATCCATTCTGTTCATTTAATAGTCTTGCTTCACATCACTGTTGTTGCTGCCACATTCTGTTGTACCCAAGTATCCATTCTCCAGTAACATGAATGAGGTATGCAGTAGTAACACAGCAGTAATTACATTATGAACTGTTCAATTCCTGGGGATCTATGGCCCTATGTAGTGCCAGTCCAGTCTCTCAGCCCAGACACAGGGCTCAAAATCAATACGGATCCACATGGCTGCACATAGGTGACCTGAACGTGCACAAGTCAGGATTTTATTTTCCTTCAGATGTTAGCTGCATGGCATAAGCTTGTTTCATGCATTGCTAATCAAGAAGGGATCAATATCTGCTGAATATTTGATCTTGCAACACCTGCTTAAAACATGAAAGTGCTGCTTTGCTTCCTGCTGAGGCTGCCAAGATTGCCCTGGTGTTAATACATTTTCTTTCTTGCCATTCAAGCTGTTTTCCTAAAAGACAACATTTTCTGTTTTCCTCCCATGCCAGGTGTACAGTGGTCTTATACAACTGGAGTGGGATGTGGTGTCAACAGTGCTGAAGCTCTTGCTGTCAGCTGAGGAACCAGGGCTGCAACAACAGCCCTTTGTGAAGCACTGTTGTCAGATACTGTCATGTGTCTCTACCTGCAGAGTCTGCTCTGCGTGTGGCTAATTTGGCTAAAATCTAGATTAAGAATAAAAATAGACAATTTTTGGTATAACAGTGTTCTTTTGCTCTGTATTACAAAATGAAGTAAATAATGTGGGCAGGAATGCAACGCTTTTATTTAGGATAGGCATTTCTTCAAGAATTACAATTGACTGTGATACAAGCGTCCCACGGTGCTGCCTAACCCATCCTCCTGTACTGTATGTCTGGGACAGGCTTCGAGTTGGCACGAGCCTCGTCAGGAGTCAGCAGCTCTCGGAGGTCGGAGATGTTGATTCTAAGTGATCAGGTGGAGGTGTGTACAGGCTGGGACTCAGAGCTTCACCACAGGATTGCAAGGGGAGGGGGCAGCCTTTCTCAGTGCAGTGTCCTCTGGGAGCATTCACTATAAATGTTACTTCCTTCCGGAAGCCTCTCTGTTCTCACACTTCCTCTCTCTCCTTTCTTTCTCAGTCTTCCTCTCTCTCACATACTCTCCCTGTCTTTCTCTGTGGCAATCCAGTAATTGAGCTATCTTTTTCATCTGCATCACTGCTGATCTTCAGGAGATATGAGCACAAAACTCTACTGAACACTGCTTCCTGGAAGTCATTTTTCAGAGGGACAGTTATGACTCATTTCCATTTTAAAACCACATCCAGAGAATCCAGTACTGTGAATTACTGCATATAAAACATAACACAGTGATTGTGTGGTGGTCATGCACTCAGAAGTTGATAGGAATAATGCCTTTAAAACAGCAAGTTAATTCACAACAAACTTTAAAATGAGATGCTGTGCCGTTATGTGTTGGTCTTGTAGGGTGTTTCATAAAAACAGTGCAGAGAGGCAGCTAATTAAGGGCTTTGGCAGAGCTCTTTGAAGTGTTGTGTTCAATAATTGCTGTCTGTAGACACACGGGCATGTTCACACGGGCGTGGTCTGACTTTCCAGTGACTTTCTGGCCACAGCTACAGCCACAGTTCTTTTGAAAGTAGGGCAACAGAAAAGACGGGGTGTGAAACTAAGCATCAGTCATACAGACTCTGTGAAGTGTAAACCACAAAATATTGCTGCAGGTAAAATTTTATAGGCATAAGTCAGCAGTCATTCAATTATAAATTGCAAAAGAAGGAAAAAGTACACTGTATATTAATTTGTCCTAAGAGCATAAAAACAGTTACAGAGATTAGAACATATGGCTCATCTAGTTTGTGTTTCCTAGAGATTGACTTTTCCACTAACAAGTGGCAAAGTCCTTTAACCTATCAGCAGCGAAACACAAACCAGAGGATAGAAGAGGAAACTGTGTGTAAAGAGTGGTAGAAGTCTGGAACAAGGCAGTAGCCTGGCTTCCTTCAAGAAACTGCTGGATGGGATCTTGGAATCAATTAACTACCAAACAAGCTTGAAGGGCTGAATGGCTGCTCTCGTTTGTGACCATTCTCGTGTTCCAATTCCAGCAGCCATTACCTGAACATACAAGATACAATATATTACAGGATATCAGCTTCAGTAGTGTGGGGGGGCTGTGTTGTTCCTTCACATAATGCCTTGTAAATAACATTTTTATTATTTGTTATATTAATGGAATAAACATATAGTGATAAATGTGATGATAGCCAATCCCTGCTTCATATTAATTGCTTGTTACTAAGGAAGCCCTTAGTATAGCCTGAACCTTCACCCAAACCATAGGACTGGGTTTCTGTAATATTTTTTAACCTCATCAATACAATTTTAACAGGTTGTTCATTGATAGACATATCAAATACCTGAGCTGATGTTTAAGAACACTTTGCATGTGAATATTGTTGTAGTGTTACCAAATCTCCACACGAGGGAGCAGTTGTGCTGTTGCCATAGAGATGTAACTACTATGGAGGGAATATAAGTAGAGAGGAACAGCAATGATATCCTGAGCCGAATGAATGGTCCCATTGATAGGAGGATGCTGATAACTAGAACCCATCCGAGAGGCAGTTTTAGGAAATGCATTATATGAGATACGTTGTCTGGATCACATGTCTCTCACACCAGCCTCACTGTGCTCTGCTGTGGTTTTGTATTTCCTTCACCAAGAACAATGAACCATGATAGAGTTTCAGAATCCCCGTTGTACAGAGCGAGTCAAAGAATAAGGGCTACCACGTGACCTTCATGGTACATTGATTATCACAAGGACTCCTCTAACCTAATTCTCTTTTTGAACCTGATACTTCAGAATCTGTGTAATATGAATGGAATTTGACCTATTTACCACGAAGTGGGAACACTGAGCCTTGTCTGAGATGGTAATAATGGCATTAGTCCAGAATTACATGGAATATATGTTTGTACTCATGAAGAATTCTACCCTGTTGATTGTCAAAGTTGGGAAATTTGTGTGTGGAAAAATAGTTCTGGCTAAATCGGAACGTAATTATGCAGAGAGTCCTGGTTGTGCGCTGGCGCCTCTCTCTCTCTGTCTTGCGTGTGGAGTCTGGTCCTCACAGGGCTGTTTGAGGTGACAGGGGAAGGACGCAGGTGGCCAGACAGCAACAACCAATCAGGGAGCCCTCAGCTGACAATGCTGCCCAGCCATAGTGCATGGTGGGAGTTGGCTAGGTTGCCTTAATCTGCTTGAAGACATTGAGCTGAGAGAAGGAGCTGCCTCAGCACAACACCAGAGCTGGGGTGGCACTCTGCTTGCTGCTGCCACTTTTAAGCTGCTGGTGGCTCCGTGCTAAAGGCTCCTGATGTTCCTCAAAAGGAGGAGGGAGAGTAATACCAGCCTGCCATGTCAAGTGGCATTCAAAAACGAGAGAAAAAGATAGTGTTTTCCCAACAGGGAACGCAGTGTCTCTGGGACCACCATTTTGTGTCTACTAGTCTGCTGGTGATGATAGTGTCCTCTGCTGTGTGCTGTCCTTATCCATGGAAATGTATGTGGTCAGATTTGTATGTGGGGCACATTGCATTTCTTCACAGTGCATAGCTTTAACAATTTAGTTGCAAGAACAGGTCAGTTAACTTCATAAACTCCCTATATTTTAAACATCTGCCGCATTTACAGTACACGTTTTTTTCCGTATTGTGTGACAGAATAAGGCACGGAGGACCACCTGATATTACTCCCCATGTAATGTGTTCACTTTAGATTCATGCTGCCTGAACAGCTTGATGCACTCCAGTGGTCACTGCCTTTCCCTCATGCGTGGGGAGCTCGCAGTGCGTTGTCTGCGCATGTGCCTCGCTGGCGGCAGAAGGGGATTATGGTCTCCTCTCA